ATTTTACCAAACATGTCCTGTTGCAAATATTTGACAAAAACTGGCTGAGCAGCCCAGCTGGAGTGCCAGCTAACAGATACCCTGTACACAGTACAGGCAGGAGCTCATATGGGTATGCAGGCAGGGTATTTGTGCGTCTTTCATTCGCCCAGCTCGTTGCCAGCCCGGTGCTTGTCCTTGTCATGCAATTAAGTCGAACCCACAGCGACAGCCAAGTCAGACAGTTGACATCCATGTCGTTGAGCTGATGATGAAGATGACGATGACGACTTGGCTTGACGTTACTTGACTTGAGTTGTGGCTACAGCTGCTCCCCGTCTTCCCATCCTCCCATCTCTCCCAGGCCCTGTTCGCCGACGCAGCTGCAATTGCTGTTTGCCTAAAGCCCCGCAAACTGCTTTCCTAGTCGAGTGGAGCGCGGTAAATGGTCCTGCTGTCGATATTGTCATGTATCTTTTTTCTCTCCTCCAAATATGCGCACAGACTGAGACTGAGAGGGGCAGAGATAGAGAGAGAGAGAGAGAGGGAGATGTAGTACTCCTATTCGCGTCAGACAGGTGCAAATTTTGCCAATTAAAGTTTGTTTTAATGAAGCAACTTAGTTACCTACTTATTGTTGCAAGTAATGCAAATGGAGCCGCAGCCAGCTGCCTAGACGCCGACTCCTGCTGGCGCTGCTCGCGTTGCTCCTAATCCTCTGTCCCAGCTGCCGCATCCTTATTCACTTTGGGCAAACAACAAACATTCGTGTGCCAACATCTCAGCTTACTAGCCAATTTACATTGCCAGCAGAGCTCCACAGTGCAGTGCCGCCGCCGAAATGTGACTCTGTTTACAATAGAGCAGCATTTCGAGTCACTAACAATATTTAATTTGTTGCTAGTTAGTCTTTACCTAATTCCAGAGAGTGAGATGGTACACTACAGAGAGAGTGAGAGAGAGAGAGAGAGCTCCTGCATATTCTTATCAAATCTATTTAATTTTCAGGCAGATCCAACTTACAAAGTTTGACACTGTTTGCAATGACACTTCATGCAGTAAACCTCACATATGCATACATTCTGTATAGTCTATTAGTCGTAAAAGTCTCGCAGAAACAAAGTAAACTGTGAACAAGTTAAGCTCATGTGTCAGCGCGTCTTTATTTCTATTAATTCGCTGAAAGACACAAAAAACACTTTTACTGCCTGCATATTGGGGATGGCACGATTGCTATCTTATGATTATATGATAATCGATTATTTAGCTCCAATCGATGATTAAATTCTGTTACACAAGAGAGTGCGATCAGACATTAATCAAATATTTGCACAATTAAATAAGTAATTGGGCAAATGTAGAAGATATAAAATGCACATCGAATGCATTATATCATGCAGTCCTTTCATATTTCAGGGCTCTCTGCTTTTAAATAATAGTGCTAGAGTGAGACAACGAAACTGCAGCTGTTAAAGGCACTGTTAAAATTGTGGTAATGGCAATGTTAGCGGCTGGCAATGTTAACCTCTACCACTAGTTCCTCTACCTATACATATGTAAAGCATGTGGAACTGAAACACTAAGCTGGCAACAGAAAACAGAACCAGCGAACTTTTTTCTTCTGCTTCCTCTTATGCATTCTGTACATATAAAAAATATCATATGTAGATAACATAGCAACTAGTCAGATCAAAGCCCTCCGCAGCTTTGCGTATAAAGCCAGAATCCAACCAGTTTGGAGCTTTACAATGCATTCAAGCAACAGTATTCAAGCCATTCGAATGGCCGATTCAAATAATTTTTTCCGCATTTACGACTACGTGATTTAAAAACTGTAAAGATACTGCCGTGGCAGGCTTTCAGCAATCAGTTTATTGTCGCTCAGGTAAATATTTAAATTCCAGTTTTTACTATGTTGTCAGGCTCATATATTGTTTTTGTCATGTTTCTTGTTCAGGATAAGCCTTGTTTTTTCCTACGTCCATGTCTGCAACATCAATTGTACTACTAGCATGCTCCAAATAATACTCCACTGGAAAAAAATTGTATTAAATGAACAACCAAATAATACTCTTCTTGTTATCTACACACCCTGCATTTCAGTTGACAATTTTGGCAGCTGAAGCCTCAATTCTGTCGACTCCAACTACTTGCACCAGCTTCGTCGGCTCTTAAATTTGAGTCGAATGAAGTCGAATAAAACTCTTGCTCACCATCTTGCTCATTCCTACTCTCAAACTATGCTTACGTCTTTGTTTGCATTTCAATTCCGATTTCAATTTTGTCGATAGCGCCGCATATGTCTCGCATTTATAAATATGTCACATATACTGCGTATTAAATTTGAGTAAAGTTAAAGCCAATGAATCCCTTCGTTGACATCGTTGACATCTCTGAGATTAATCAAAATTCGGTCCTGACATCACTCACTGAAATTTCAGCTTTGATGTATGACAGTTGCTGTAAATATTGCATAGTACAAGCAGCTATTGAATCAACTTTTAAATGGACTATGTGTGTGTGCATGTGTGTATGTGTGTGTGTGTGTGTGTGTGTGCATGTGTGTATGTGTGTGTGTTCTCTGACAGACTGCTTGTAGTTGCAGTTGCTCTTCTATTGTTGGGGGCTTCTTGGCCCCTAGCACATCTTGTTGCACACACAGTCTCTATGATATACATTTTAATAACTAGCAATAAGAGAGAGAGAGTGGGGGGGAAAGAGAGAGTGGAAGTGAGCGAGAGAGTGAGTGGAAGAGAGCTGCAGAGTAACAACGCTTGAATTTGGGTTGTGGCAGGTGCGAGCTGCTCCTTGCTCAACTTGTGTGTCTATGTGTGTGTGTGTGTGTGGGCGTGTGCATGTCTATCTGTGTGTGTGTGTGCGCGCGGCTAATTAAAATTCCGCATTGCATTTAATGTCGTTGATAAGAAAACGTGCTCAAGACAGCGGAAATGTCCATTTCATTAAAATTTTCTAAAGACAAAACAAGATGATATATATGTATAAGTATAGATACACATACATACATATATAGGTATATGTCACATATATTGTCACACTTTACTTCAAAGCATGCATTTAACCTCCCCTTCCCCCTCCCCCTCCCCAACCTCAATTAAGCAAAACTTTCGAGTCATCATTTATTGTTAAATTTCGTTTGTCATTTATTTATATTTAGTTCTTGTTGCATTCAATACAATATTTGGTTTTTTGTTCATAATAATTTCATTTATTGCATTTGTATTTTTTGTTGTTTCTTTTTGCTTTTGTTTCGTATGTGAATTCTGTTTGGCTTTCAAGTTCTACGTAAGACTAGAACTATTGAGTGTTGGTGTGAGTGTGTGTGTGTGTGTGTGTCTGGAGGGACATCAACTCACACACACACACACACACACGCACATTATTGCTGCAGAGCATTTGATAAGCTTCGTTTAATGCATAGATTTACTCTTAAAGTACTTTTTGTTGTTTTTGTTTCTGCTTTGTCTTTATATTTTTTGGTATTTTTGTTGGTATTTTGTTTTGTTGTAGTTTTTGCATTTGATTCTTATTTGCGATTTTTTTGATTTTGTTTGTTTGTCTGCTTTTGATTTGCATTTAGCGATTTCAGTTAGCTTTGCATACTCTCTGCCTTAACTAATGCGCCCAGCAGCGGTCACTTTTACAGGGTATACGCCCGGCTCACGTGTGCCCACATAAGTATGCTACTGCTAAGCCAGGGACTGGGGCGTAACATCTTTTGATTTGCTTCGTTTTTGCTAAGGTTTTGCATTTGCATTTTTCGCTTTCTCCTTCTCTCTCTCTCTCTCTCTCTCCCTCTCTCTCTCTCCCTCTCTCTCGCTTGCCTGTTCGCCTCCTCTCTGCTGGCCATAAAGTAATTGGTATACTACGCAGCGCTCCGTCACATAAATATGCTTTGCTTAAGTATTTAAATATGCTTTCAATTTGTATTTAGTTCGTTTTATAGCTAAATCCTTGACTAAAGTTATTTCATTATCATATAAGTAGTTATTTAAAAAAAAAATTCTATTTATTTATTGTATTACGAAAATGATAATTATAAAGTAGATGACAAAAAAAATGTATTTCTTTTGCATTTTAAAAATGAAACTCTTTGAGTTTTTTTTTTTTTTTTTTTTTTTTTTTTTTTTTTTTTTTTTTTTTTTTTGTTTTTTTTTTTTTACTTTTGTTGCTCGCTTAGCCTAATCCAATTTTGTATTCTTGGTTTAATTGTATATTTTAATTAGATTAATTAGTTATAATATGTTGCTCTTGCAGTTTAATGCCACTCGACAGAGAGATGCTTAAACTCCTTCGTTTACTGTTAGTGATTCTTACTTACCGCGCTGCTTCGACAAAAAAAAAATTGTTTATTTTCGATTACATCTAAGTTTTTCCGCTTGGGTTTGAAAAAAAAAATTTGTCAACAACATCAACATTGATTACAGTTGTGTCTGTGCCTCTCTAAACCCTAAATACATGTATGTACTATGCGTAGCTGGCTTTATCTACGACACTTTTCATAGTATTTCCTTGCTTTTATTTTAATATATTTATCATTACACTAAAAACAGATTTCTTTTTTTTGCATTTTTTTTTCTGTGTTGCTTTTCATATTTGAGTTGAGTTTTCATTGCGCTCCAACTTGTATTTACATTGAAAATGGTTTACTCTCTGTATTATTATTATATATATTTATTTATTTTTATTTTTTTTAATATTTTTTTTCTCTATTTGAAATTGTCATAACTAAACGAACGTTGAACGCATCATGATGTTTATTATCACTAACCTAGTTATTTTTCTGTTTATTTGTTGGAAGTTGGTTTCTTTTTTTTTTGGATTTTATTTTGTTTTTTACTCATAAATTAAATGCATTTTTGGGCCACATTGAAAACATAAAGAATGCTTTGACATTTTCTCCGATTGAAAAAGTTTTTATGCTAAATGAATTGAATGGCACATCGAATATATATATATATGTATGTATGCACTTATATATGTAAATATATATGCTTGTGTATTTGGCAGATCAAGTGAGTGCAGCGACAGAGCCAGTGTGGTAAAATGAATGAATTATTTGAGTAACCCTTTGAGCACTGCATATTTCGTAATACTCGCGTCTGATTGAATTGGTTATTGTTCGAGTATAATATATACATATATATGTATATGTATATGTGTGCTGCATGCTGACACGGATAATGCCATTAATGACGACAACTGAGAGCAAGTCTTTCAGCATATAATATGCAACATTCATGAAGTGGACTGCAAATCGAATGCAATCGAAATAATCCGGCGTGGGCCGACTAACAGACGCTCAAATGGTTCGTATTGAGCACCACGCCCGCCGCCATATAGCCCCCAATGGCCCCGTTGTTGGGCCGGTGGTGGTGGTGGTGGTGGTTGTTGTGGCTGTGATTGTTGTGCGGTGCACTGCTCGCCGGCGATGTGGAGACGGCCACAATGCTGCCCGCTGCGTCGCCATTCTCCACAACGAGCCCCCCGATGCCCACAATGGGGCTGCGGCTGCCCGACTTGGCCATGGCCAACGGCACGCCGCCAATGGGCGTGGTTGCCGTGGTGGTGGTGGTGCCGGTGCCGGTGCCGGTGCTCAAGCTAGTGCCGCTAATGTGCGCACTGATGCCACTCGGCACGCTGGCCATGCCATGGGCGCCGCCGGCTGGCGCCGTCGACGCCGAGGCGGCGGCCGCTGCGGCCGCGGCGTTGTTGACGCTGGCCGCGGTGCGCGTCAGCTCCTCGTTGGGTATGGAGAAATGTCGATAGGAGATGTACTCGGGCGGCATGGCCGCCTGCCGCTTGGCGTTCTCGATGCGCTGCTTCTTGAGCTTCACGTAGCTGAGCACCGATATCATCACAATGAACACTATGATGCCCAGGCAGCAGCCGACAATCAGGCCCAGGCGACGCGTCAGTATCGAGTGGATGAAGCCGTTGCTCGACAGCCCGTTCTCGTCCGTGATCAGGCTGGGCGTGGAGTCCAGGGTCTGGACGTCGGTGCAGGCCGAGATGTGCGAGTTCTTGAGCACCTCATGCAGCGCCTTGTCCGTCCCGATGCTGTTCTCAATCAGCGCCTGCTGCTGCTGCTGCTGCTGCTGCTGCTGCAGCTGCTGCTCGTGGATGGCGCCGTTCAGATGCTGATACGGCGAATAGCTGTCCGGCATGGAGGGCAGGGCGGCGGCCAGGGGCCCATCTCCAGCTGCTGCCAGCGTGAGCAGCAGCTCGTCGCGCGACTCATTATAGTGGAGCCTTTGGAGCGCGTTGGCCAACGGCTCCGAGAGCCAATTACCCGTGCCGATGACGCAGATGTGATAGCGCGTGTTGGGACTCAATTTCGTTAGCTTTGTCGAGCTGGCCGTGCCGTTTAGCCGCTTGCCGTGTATCTGTGGAATAAATTAACCAAGTTTTCAACATAATTATTGCGATGCCAACCTCAGTCATGCACTCAATATGCCCCAGTCACCAATTCTCCATCATCATCATCATCGTCATTGTCATCTCCGTCATCATCACTATCATCATCATCGTCGGCGTCGCCCTCGTCAAGTCGTTTTATTAAAATTTTCTTTTGGGGCCTGCGGCCGCAATATGACTAACTGACCTGGACAATGGGCTCGATTAGCGATTCAATTGTAAAAAAAATGATGGCAAATAATAGCTAAATAAGCTACGTTTGTTTAATATTAATTTGAGTAAAATATATAGACTAAATTTTGTATATTATTTTCATTTTGTTTTGTATAATTATTTTTTAATGTTTTATCATTATGTTTTTTAATTTGATTATTTTTAAGTAGCTTAAATGTATTTATATTTTTATTATATTATTTTTAAAAATTTTTTTTTTTTATATTCTTATATAATCTTAGTTTTATTTATTTGTTATATATATATTTTTTTTTTTGTTTTTTTGATATTTTTAATATATATATTTTTTTAAGCTCAATATTTTAATTCTTATTATATTATTTTTTTAAATTTGTTTTATTTGATATTTTTATATAGTCTTAGATTTATTTATTTGTTATATTTTTTTCATATTTTTAATATATATATTTTTTTAAGCTCAATATATCTATTCTTATTATATTATTTAAAAAAAATTTTTTTTTTGATATTTTTATATAGTCTTAGTTTTATTTATTTGTTATATTTTTTTCATATTTTTAATATATATATTTTTTTAAGCTTTCATCTTCATTATTTTTAAATTTTTTCAAAATTGTTTTAGTGTTTTAATTATTTCAGTTGTTCTCATTATTTCATTTTATTCTTTTTATTTATATATTTTTAATATGCTTGTAAATTTTGTGTTTCTTCTCTATTAATTAATATTAATATTTTTATCTAAATATTATTTATTATTATTTGCTATTTTATTCATCCTAATACAATTCGGTATCCTAATAACATAATTAATGAATTATAATAGAAAACAAATCTCTTAATAGCTTAAATATTAAAAAAAAATAATTAAAACAAATTTCTGTTGTTCAAATCAAGAGATTAAAATTTTTTGAGAGATTGATATAAACTTCTACTTCAACTATTTCAACTGAAAAGTTTGGCTTACTAAAACAGTTCCTAAGCAAATTAAAATCGCCTCGGAACAAAAGAGTCTATTCACGCTTTCTGTGCGCATTTCGTCCGTGTCGAGCCCACTGTGCCATCGGCATCTTAGTTAGTTGAGAGCCCGGGGCAACGGGATGCTTAAATTAAATTTTGTATGCACAAAGTTGCGCAGTTTATCGCCGATCGAACGAGGCCACATGGCGGCCCCTGCTCCACGGCGACCGCTAAGCGTTGATTAAGCGTTTATTAAAAGAGAATTACGGGCCGGGGGCCAAACAGGACAAGAGTACCAAAGTGGAGCAGGGGCGGCAGGAGCCGGCATCGAGTGCTTTACATCGGATTTCTTTCAAATTTGTGCGTCCACTGTCAGTTAGCGTCTGGTTGAGCAATCATTGGCCACTCACCTCATCCGTGGCAGCAAACTGGGCCAGCCGCTCCCTCTCGCTGTCTCGCTCAAACTCGCTGTGCTGTCGCTGCATATCGTAGTCCCGGTCCCGGTCTCGGTCCCGTTCCCGTTCCCTATCCCTATCCCGTTCGTGATGATTATCGGTGCGGCCTCGGGCGTCGTCGCGGTCGGCTGGTGCCGCAATGAGTCCATCGCCGGTGGCGTGGTAAACAATTTCAAAGCCAGTGAGGCCCAAATGGTCGCGACTCTGCCAGGAAACGACCACCGAATAGGGCTGTATGTCCTGTATGGCCATTTTGGGTATTAATGGGGCGTCACAAAATTGCTGCGGCTCCATGCGGCCAAACACCTTGCCGCGCAGCTCCGTCGGGTGTTCGCACCTCAGATAATTAATGTTATCACCGCCCGTTGGCGATAGCGACCATTTGCGATGATCCCGCAGCCATTCCCAGAGCTTTTGTGCATCACAGCTGCAATGCAGTGGATTCTCTGTATATGCGTGTGTGTGTGTGTGTGTGTGTGCGAGTGTGCGTGAACGAAATACAAATGAAAATGCCATCAGAGTAAGCACCAAATTAGCTAAAGGACTGTGAATTTACGGCTGGTTAAGCGCCGCTGCCTCGGTACTCACCCTCCAGCTTCAGAGTGCGCAGATTCGTTTCGAGCGGCCGCAGCGGCTCCAGCGGCACCAGCTCAAAGTAGTTCTTGCGCAGATCGAGCAGATGCAGCTTCCGCAAGTAGCGAAAGCCGTCGTTCGACAGCGCCGTCATCCGGTTGCCCATGAGCAGCAGCTCGACGAGTCCGTGCAGGTTGCGAAAGGTCTTCTTGGAGATGCGATCCAGCTGATTGAAGCTGAGGTCCAGCGTCTGCAGCTGGCCCAGCTCGCTGCTGAACTCATCCAGATCCTTGAGCGTGTTGTGGGATATGTTGAGCAGGCGCAGCAGACGCAGTCCCTGCAGGCGCTCCTTGGGCAGCATCTCCAGCTCGTTGACGCTGATGTCCAGGGTGAGCAGATTAACCAGCGACTTGAAGGCGCCGGGCGAGATGCGTGTGATGCGATTGTTGACCAGATGCAGATGCTGCAGTGCCTGAAAGGCCTCAAAGTCCTTGGACGTGAGTATGGAGAGGTTCGTCTGACAGATGTAGAGCTCCTTCAGGTAGAGATAGCGCTCCTCCTTCACCGTATAGATCTTATTGATGGGATTGCCGGTCAGATTGAGCCAGGACAGGCGCGGTATGGACGCGTCCGACAGCGCCGAGCTGGGTATCTGCAGGAACCGATTGCTGGACAAGTCCACGCGCTGCAGATTGATCGAGTGCCGCAGAAAGTTGGCCGGCAGCGAGAGCAGCAGATTGCCGCTGAGATCCACATTGTCCAGCTGCGTCAGGTTGACCGCATTGAAGCCGCTCAGCGAGCTGATCTTGTTGTCGCGCAGCACCAGTTGCCGCAGATTGAGGGTGCCGCTCAGCTTGAAGAAGTCAATGGAGTTCAGTTGATTCCTGGCCAGATCCAGGGTCTCCAGCGTGCTCAGATTGTAGAGGGCGATGTGCGGGAACTCGACGAGATTGTTGCGGCACAGGCGCAGCTCCTTGAACACGTTCAGTCCGCTGAAGATGTTGCGGTTCATCTCGGTCAGCTGATTGTCGCACAGATCGATGCGCACCAGGTTCGTGTTCTTGGCGAACAGCTGATCGGGTATGCTGCTCAGGCTGCAGTTGGCCATGGAGAGCTGCTGCAGGGAGCGCAGCTTGTCGAACATGCCCGACATGATGCCCCCAACGGCGCCGCCGATGCCCACGTGGCTGAAGTTGTTGTGCGAGAGATGCAGACGCCTCAGGCTGGGCACGTCGAGCTTTTGTATGTCCGCCGGATTGAGCTGATTGCGCTCCAGATTGAGCTCATTCAGATTCTGCATGGACTTGAACGTGTGCTGCTCCAGCTTGCGCAGCGAGGTGTTGCGCAGATTGAGCGTGCTCAGGGGCAGCTCGTCCAGGAATATGTCGCGTGTCAGCTGCACCAGCGGATTGTGCGAGAGATCCAGGGACTTGAGCTGCTTCAGCCGGCTGAAGGCGTAGCCCTCGATGGCCTCGATCTGATTGTTGGCCAGACTGAGCTCCTCCAGGCTGTGCAGAGTGGCGAAGTAGTCGCGGCGCAGCTGACGCAGCTGATTGCCGCTCAGGTCGAGGAACTTGAGCAGCCCCAGGCTGGCGAAGGTGTCCTTCTCGATCTCGCGTATGCGATTGTTGCTCAGGTAGAGCCGGCCCAGATGGGGCGTGTCCACGAACAGCGATCGGTCGATCTTCACCAGCTGATTGTCGCGCAGCCACATGATCTGAATGCGCTGCTGCTGCCGGAACGTGCGCTGGTGGATCTTGTGCAGATAGTTCGCCTCCAGCTGAATGGAGAGCAGCGAGGAGTTCTGCTCCGGAAAGATGTCCTCCAGCATGGTCAGCTGATTGTCCTGCAGATTGATGTGCTGCATGTTGGCCAAGGTGTGGAAGGCGCCCGGCTCGATGTCCTCGATGTTGTTCTTCTGGATGTGCAGCTCCTGGAGCGCCGGCAGCGGCTCGAACACCCCCTTCCGCACGCGGCGAATGCGATTGTTGTGCAGCCGCACCTCACGCAGCTGCTCCAGCTTGCGGAACATGCCAATCTCCAGGTCTTGAATCTCATTGTTGTCCAGCGACAGCGACGAGAGCTTCGTGCACTTGTCGAAGAGGGTGACGGGCACCAGGGGAATGAAGTTGGAGCGCAAGTACAAGTGATCCAAGTTGGCCAACGTACTGAACACATTGGGATCGATGTGGGCAATGCCATTCGACTCCAGGTAGATGACATCCACATTGGTCGAATTGGTGAACGCATCCGCGGGCAGCTCCAGTATATTGTTCTCGGAGAGGAACACCTCGCGCAGCTGCGGCAGATTGGAGAAGACCCCGCCGATGGCGTGTATGTGATTGTGGCTGAGGTCGACGGTCTGCAGCCGTTTGTTCTTGTCGAAGACCTTCGGATCGAGCGTGATGATGCGATTGTGCGACATGTCCAGCGACATCAGCTCCTTGAGGCTCCTGAAGGCCTCCGGCTGCACGATCTCGATCTGATTGGCATAGAACGACAGCGTCTTCAGCTGGGGAAAGGCGCGAAAGCAGTCGTGCGCAATCTCGCTGAACTGATTCGAGCTCAGATCCAGCAGGATCAGCGAGGGCAGCTGCAGGGCGGCCGCCGTTGCCGCCGCCGCCGAGGCATTGTTCGTGGCCAGCTGAATGTCGCCATAGAACGTGGAGATCTTGTTGTTGGAGAGCCGCAGGATGCGCAGGTGGTCCAGCTTGCGCAGCGCCATCATCGGAAATGTTCGCAGACCGTTCTCCGACACGTCAATCTCCTGCATGCAGTCCTCCAGACCGGCGAAGCCATGCTCCGGTATGGCCTGCAGCCGATTGCCCTTGATGTTCAGCTTGGACACGCGCAGCCCATAGAAGCTGTAGTCCTCGATGCGCGAAATCTCGTTGTAGTCAAAGTCCAGGGCGGTCAGCTTTTGCATCGAGCTGAGGGCACGCGAGGGCAGCTGTGAGAAGAGAGAAGGCGTTTCGATTAGGGATGAATATAAAAGAATATAGAGTCTTAGCCTTAAGTGAGGTAAAACCATTTGCTTTGTATGTACATCTATGTATTCTTAAGGAATTGGGGGGTAGTCCGTCTAAGACAGATGAAGAACTACTGAAGATCATTTATGTAATCTATATGTATGCAGCAGTCTTCATTTGGTATTTTTATTTAAGTAAGAGAAATCTTTAAGCAGCAGAGAGCATTCCCATTGGTCACTCAAAGCGCAATTGCAACGACCTCTACCTGACACCGGCCTCAACATTTGAGCAGAGCTTGGTGTTTGAGTGAGAGGCGCCCTATATATAGGGCAGCAGCTGCAGCATTTCTTCAGTCGCCCAGGCCTGGAGGGGGTCTAAATATTAAATGATCGTTCAGCTAAGCATTGAAGACATGGAGGAAGTTTTTAGAGGAAATGCTGAAAGGAAATACTAAGCAGAAATACTTTAAGGAAATACTTAAAACTACTGAAAGAAAATTCTTAGAAGAAACAATTAGAGAAACGACTAGGAAGAACTTGGAAGTACTTGGAAGAACTTGGAAGTATTTGGAAGTACTTCGAAGTACTTGGAAGTACTTGGAAGTATTTGGAAGTACTTGGAAATACTTGGAAGAACTAATTAGGCTGTTTTGGTAGAGGAAATATTTTAGGGAAATACTTAAAGTAAACACTTGAAGGTACTACACAGAGGAACTACTGAGAGAAAATAAAGACAATACTTAAAAGAAATATTTAGAGAAACGAATTGGAGAATTTACATGGAGAAACTACTTAGATAAACATAGAAAAGCTATATAGAGATAGATAAACTACATAGAGGAAATGCTTAGAGGAAATACTTGCAGAAACTATTTGAATGCACCATTTAGGGGAAGTACTTGGAGGAATCACTAGGAGTAATCATTTCATTTCGAGCATTCAAAGTAGTCTGATTAGCTGATATTCTGATTAATATTAAATATTTTTGGTTTGCCTAATTAAATGCGACTTTAATTGAATTTAGTCTAATACGTATTTTCATTTATTGAAAATGTCGTATATTTTAGTTTCTAATTTGAATTGCAAATGTCAAAGGCAAAATTTTGACATTTTGCATGCATATCAATTCGGGGGTTTTTTTCTATACAACAAGCCCAACTAATTACATAAAAGCAAATTAATGTCAAGCGAAACTTGGCGAAATTGCGTCAGTTTGCGGTTCAACTGTTATGCAATATTTTGCATTTATAAAATATTTACATTCGTTTTTAAATTTTTTTTTTTTTTTAATTTAATTTTTTTTATTTCACTTATTTATTTATTTGCGCAAGTGCTTCGTGGCAGCTGTTTCGACCTTACAATGTTTTGAATAGCATTAATTGAAAGGCACATGCATGTTTTATGCACCTACACACACACACACGCACACACACATTGCATGGAGCAAACAGGTGCCCCAATATTGAGTTTATGCAAGAGAGAAAGAGAGAGAGAGAGAGAGAGAGCAAGCATGCACTATGGACTTTGGGAAAAGAATGCAACAAGAGCAGCTGGTCTCAATTATCAAGCGAACGGCGCGCATTCATCAGCTGAACCTGTATTATTAAGCAATTTATATTTATTTAAGAATCTCATTTGTTATAGTTCAACAATCAAAATCTTTTCAGAATCTGTTCAGAATTGCCAAATTTCTAGTTGAGCAAAATGTTGTTTCAGTTCAAACTGAGTCAATATAGATTTTATATGCATGCGTATATGAATAGGCAATAGGCGCACTATTTCTACTACCTCAGTCTTTTGGGACTCTGAGCCTCATATCCATATGAAGACCTGGGTTTGAACTGAATTTAGCAGTTCATATAAAATGCACTAGTTGAGTAAAATTGGCCGCGTTTGATTGAAAAATCTGGGCTGCTTCGATTGCGAAAGTAAAGAAAGAAATATAAAGATGTATGTGCATATACATTTATGCACCTTGCTCTTCCTCTTCTCGGGAATATTCGCAGACGAAGGTGGCATACAATGATGGCTACTTATATATTCTACATATATTCTAAATATTTTATGCACTTAATTTTATTAATTTATATAGATTTCTTATGCGTTATACAACAGATTTGTAGTACATCGATTTGACTATGGGATTAGCCACGCCCCTTACAGAAAAGAAGAGAACGGACTTGGCCAGTAAATTCATTTATCGTGTATTATGATATATATTTATTCCCCTATGTATTTAGAATGATTATTTATTTTTATATATTTTATTTATTTGTTTATTTATATACATTTATCAGTGGATTGCATTACATTGTTTCGCTCTCTCGCTCTCTGTGATTCCCTATGTGTCTCTCTCTTTGTAGCTCTTTTTCACTGTGTGTCCCTCTGTTCCTGTATATCTCTCTCGCAGTGTGTCTGTCTCTTTCCTAGTTTGCCTCTCTATATCTCGCTATCTCCTTGCATCTCGCTCTATCTCCTTACGTGTGTCTCTCTCTCTCTCTCTCTCTCTGTCTCTCTCTCTCTCTTTCTCTGTGTGTGTGTAACTCGTGTGCGTTGTACAACATTTGGAATTCAATAACGATCCCGGGCATTCAGTGGAGAAGGACGACGCCGGGGAAAACGCACCATATTCTCCTTGAACGGAGAGACGACAATGTGAGTGCCGTCGATCCTGCCGCCGTCCATGGTCCTCCGGGCGCGCTTGCAGTCCTCGGGATTGGCGTATTCGACAAAGGCGTAGCCGCGCCCGGCGGGCGTGCAGCCGTTGTAATAGTAATGATCTATGGGAAAATCAACATTGGTCAGCTGGCCAAAGCTGCCAAAGATCTCAATGATATCGCTTTTGGTCACCTGGCGCGTCAGGCCCCTGATGTGCAGGCGCACGGTTCTTGGATCGCGATCGTGCGACATCCACGGACTGGGCGTACGCCTCGCGCTGCGACGCCGATAGCTTCTGGGCAGCGTCGACTGGCGCGTGAGCGAGCGGCGGGAACGAGACCGCAAGCTCTGATCGGAGGGCGAGCGGCGTGCGCGAGGGCGTGGCGTTTTTCGCGACGAAGAGCGCCAGTCCACGGTGCGGCCGCCCTCACGCCTACTCCTGCGGTAGTCGCGTAGTTCAGTGGTGTGACTGCGCGCCCTCGCCATCTCCTGGCGACGCTTCTCCCGATGAGCTGAGCACGACCTCTTCTCCTCCTCTTTCTTCAGCTTCGCCTCCTCCTTGCGCGCATGTGACTTGCACTCCAACTTCAACTCATCCTTGTCCTTCGGCTTGGCCTGCTCCGTCGTCTCGCTCAGCTTGGCCTTGCCCGAAGTGTGCTTGTCCTTGCCTCTAAGCGGTGAGGGCGTCGAGCAGCTGCTGTCCTTTTCCTTTCGCTTTTGCTCCCCGTTTACCTCCTTCGAGATGGTCTTCGACTTGGTAGTGGCCGAGCTCTTGTGCTTGTCCAGCGAGTGCTTCGAGCATGATCTCGACTTCTTGGACTTGGACCCGTGCGACTTTGACGAATGCTTGCTCTTGCTCTTCGACTCGTTGCCCGACGGCGTCGAGCGGGAGCCATGGTCACTGCGACTCCGGCGCCGTTTGGTGCACGGCGTAAACGAGCAAGCCCCATTCGCTTTGGCATCCTGCGTTGAGGCACTAGCCGGCTTGGTCGCCGGCGCTGGCGCAGGATTCGGCACAACTGTGGACATGGCAAACACAGCCTCGATCGTGGTTGGGGCCGAAGGCGGCAATTGTGCTGCAGCCGGAGCCGGCGCAATGGCAGCTGAGGCGACCTTCTTACGGGAGCTACGCGAATCGCTACGATATTTCGATTTGCTGTGGGATCGCTTCAACGTCTTGTATTTGCGCGAGCGTCGGCGTGGTCGCCTCGTTCTCTCAACCTCGCTCTCCGAAGAGCTGGTCGACGTCACCGAAAAGCAAGTGCTGCAAGACATCGAGCCACTGCTGGAGTAGCAGCTCTCCGAGTCGCTTTCGCTGTCGCAGGTGGACGACGACGACGACGGCAAGCGGGAGACCCGCTTCGACAGTACGGCATGCGGAGCCGGATCGGAATTGGCCGATCTTCCCTCCCTCCTCGGACTGCGACTGGAGGCCCAATCACGCATTTTCACTGGATATTTTCTCGACTTTTTGGCCAAACAAATATTATTTCAGATTTTTTTTTCGATCTGAACGACGAACGTGTACAAATGAAATAAACGATATTTACTGTTTCTGATTTTTGTTACTTTTTTTTTGAAATTTGTATTTTGTTGAATGTGAAAAATTTAGGTTGTTGCTCGATCAAATCCGTTTCAAAATGAATGAGTGAGCTGGAGCGAGCGGCTATGTGCCCCGTTTGCCTCTCAATGCTCACTTTGATCGTAGAAATTCTTGACTGCGAAATGATATCAAACTGTTGAGGCAGAAGGCATGAGTCACTGATTAAGTAAAAGCATAAAATATAATTGGGAAAATAACAAACGTTGAAATTCGTTTTGATATTTGATCTCAAGGTAAATTCTTCCTTCCTAGATATAAGGTACGCCCACCTCAGTGGATTAATTGAAATTATGCTTGCTAAATTATTGCGAACTGATTTCTAGATTTGTTGTCATTGGCTGCCTCAAATCAATAAACATTATATCGGCTCGATTTCATTTGCCCTAATGAAACCAGACACGTGTTATGGCATTCCCATGACGAGCCTTTGGCCCCAAATTACATAACTTTGCCCAAATTAAGCGAGATTCTTATTTGTATACTGCCATTTGAGTTAATCATTGACAGATAACAGCCTTATCGATAGAACTATATCGAAATCTCTGAGTGGAAAGCTGTCACACAATCTTATTAAAAACTCATTATTTACTTAACACAAAGGCATATTCGAGACAAGAGAATACTCCCGCATTCATTGTTTTGTTTCGTGTATTTTGCAAGTAAACTTTTTGTCAGATTGACTAAACAAGACGTTATTCGATTGTCTGGCCCACTGAAGGGGGAAATGGGAGCAGTTGTCGCCAGAGAATGCCGCCTCGCGCTGGCCGGCCGTATAAATAGCCCGCCGAGGTGTCTGGGCAGTCATCAGCAACTGTCGCTAGCTTCTCTCAACAGCTGAAGTCAGCTCAGCTCCGATTCCAGCCTAGTTCCAGTTCCAGTTCCAGTTTTGGTTCCAGCTCCAACTGCAGTTCGAGTCATGTACAAGCTCACCATTTGCTGCATGCTAATCGTCGTCCTGGCGACTGCTGCCCTGGCCACGAACAGGCCCAGACCCGTCTGCGTGGGCCGCTGCACTGTGGGGGACTTGAGGCGCACCGATTGGGTCTGCACCAGGGATGCCAGGACCAATCTGTGCACCAAGCTGCGACCCTGCCGACTTCGCGAACGCAACTGCGCTCTGAGGGATCTGGGCCTGAAGCCGCTGCGACAGACGAGCCTGCGGCAGTGCGCCAATGTCAGGGGCATCGAGGGCACCGCCCGCTGTGCCCCCACC